ATGAATGAATATTTGCTGTAAAATTCTTATCACTGCTATAAGTGTAGCTACCAGTTTGGCTGCCAATTTTGATTTCCTTCCTTTACATCGTATGCTCAATCCTTTCTTGGCCGCACCTTTCTGTCACACCTAAGCTGTTTTTTATTAGATGCATACTAACAAGTATTATTGAAATAATAATAAACAACATTAATAAGTGTGAAGATTTCTCAGTTGTGTATCATACTTAAATTTAATATAATTCAATTAGACACTGCACATTTTATAACTAATTTGTTATTTGATGTTGAATAGATAGTAGAAGTTCATAGCTTAAATTCAAAAACTTGAGAAATGTGGGCATTTAATTTGAAGAATTCTGTTAGTGCAGTCCCTAAGGTAGTATGTTTTCTTTATTTGTAACTTGTTAGCTTATTAACTTACTGGTGCTTAGAAGATTTGGTTTATGTACCTATGAAGCATTCAGTTTACTTTTGGACATTAAATTTTATGGATGAATTACAAAAATATGACAAGTGTAATGTACATTAGCTAACTCAATAGACAATCTTCAATAATAATAAGGTCTAACCAAACTCACCAATCCTATGTTATTTTTGCTTGATCATTCAGATAAGTTTTTTATTAAAAATAACTTTTAGCATGTCTTCGCAATATCATGTTAACAAAAATTGAAAATTTGGCATGAGAATCTCACAGTTGAGAAAATGCCATTTAGGTCTTTTATTGATATTTTTATGACTCCTGTATTACATAGGAATCTGGCACCTTCGATAATTTAACTTTCCTAGAAAGAAATTGATGATTTGTTGAAAAGTACAGGGTCGGTTTCATTTTACTTGTCTTTTTCTTGGGATTGAACATGCAGAGACAGTTTTGGAGGACCAAATGGTCCTTCATTTTCCAAAAGTTACTTGTCTCAAAATACTATACTGTAATGTATTTAGTTTTGCTCATGTTGTATTTGAAGTTAGTAAATATTGTGATGTTTATAGCTTGAATTAATTGAAAACCCCAATGGATTAAGCTGTATGGTTGTGAAGGTTACAGCTAATTTAGTTTGGTTGAAGAGTGATTTTAATGGTCTGGAAGCCTTTTTTCATCTTGCTTTATCTTTTATTATAATCAGTTTTTCCTCTGCTTATTTATATTTGTGTTAAAAACATTTTATTTTATTTTTTGTAAAAACATCTGACATTCATAATATTATCCAATAAAATCTTGCAATAATTCAAACTAACAACACATGATATCATCTGACAAACTATTTCATGACTTAACAACTGTTAAGAGGGGAGAAAAAAAGCTTAATTAATTTGGACTTGGGCCTCCATACCTTATAACACAACATGCAAACTACAAGGTATCATTTGGTTCTTTAAGGCTGTTCTTGCACTCCCACCTTTGAGAAGATTATGTATAAATCCAGTCTTTGTTTTTCAGGAAATCATTGATTCTCTTCTTAAACTTCTGTATAGTGTTTGCCTCCACTACTACCAATGGCAACTTTTTCCATATGTCAATCACCCTATTAGAAAAATATAAATGTCTTAACTGGAACCTAGCCTTTATTTTTCAGATTTTCAACTTTTGTCTTCTCTTCCTATTATCTTCAGAATAAAACAGAAATCCAAAGTTTTTATCCCATTGATACCCTAGATAATCTTGTAAACTTCAGTAAGATCACACCTTACCTTCCTTTCTCAAGAGAAAATATGTTAAGGGATCTTATCCAATCCCTGTAAGATAACCCTTTCATTCCCAGAATAATCGTATTAGCCCTTCTATGAATCTTTTCCAATAAGTCAA